TTTGGTATTTGAAGCTCGTATAGGGTACTACAGCCTATTGTCTGCGCAGGTCCACGTCTTCGTATAGCCCCCATATAACGGTACCTCCGTTTTGATGACTTCGGCGACACTATTCACCGGATTTTTTCAAGTTTTGCATTTGTCAAATGTTTCCTATGCAGGTCCACGACGTCGTATATACTAGAGGTGGCAAACTGTCGATAGTAATATCGATAGTATCGATGGTTTGGTTTTCACTAGACTATCGATGGTTTTTTTTCGATAGCGATACTATCGTTGAAAAAATGGATTCCGGCATTTATTCAGTTAGAGGCGCAACTTTGTTAATTAAACGACTTAGATATCTTCTATATAAACGGCGTTGTTAATTTATCAACTTTGATTTGTCATAAATATATGTAAAAAACAGAACACTGTTTGTGCCTTACGCTATTTATGCGTACCAGCAACTTCGACAGAGACTGAGCGAATGTTTAGCAAAACCGGAGCCATAATTTCGGAAAGAAGATCGAGCTTAAAGCCAAAAAATGTTGATATGCTGCTCTTTGTTAACAAAAATTGTTGGGTCAGTAAAGAATTATAAGAAGTAAGGTTTTTAAACAAATAAAATTAATTTTTTCATTATAATTTTAAATTTAAATTAATTTGATTAAATATTTTTATAAAATAAGATCTGAATGTATCTGTAATAATGAATTTCAAATATTTTTTGTTTTTATGTTTAGTTGTTTTGTTGAATCGTTATTATCTGTTTTTTTTTTTTTTAATTTTTAATATAAATATAATTTTTAATTAATTTTTACTACATGCAAATACATTTTTTTGTAAAAGTTGATCTCAAAGTGCCTTATAAAAATGAATTCCAAATATTTTTGTTTTTATGTTGTTGTTTTGTTTAAGCGTTATTGTCTGTTATTTTTGACTATAAATATAGTTTATAATTAATATTTACTATAGGTACATATTTTAATAAAATATAATAACTGTAATAATGAATTCCAAATATTTTTTGTTTTTATGTCAATTTGTTTTGTTTAAGCGTTTCTTAATAAAAAAATATTAATCATTAGATCATTTAATATAATTGAGTCCGTTATTAAAAATACATGTAAGTACATATCGGTGTTGTTTATTGATATTGTCTTGAATGGTTATTACATTTGTGATGAGTTTTGTTAGTAGTTATTTTTATTTTTAATAAAAATCGCAAAAGTTTAACAAAAACCATAATACAAAAATAATTATAACACACAAATTAATAACATAGAACAATGAAAAAAAAGTTGCGCGCATTGTTGAAAAATTAATATTGGCATTCCCACATTATTCGATACTATCGATAGTTTTCCAACAAACTATCGAAAATATCGAATGGTGCGACTAACGATAGTTTGCCAGCTCTAGTATATACCTTAATATAACGGCTACATTCGGCATTTTTAAGATTTTAACATATTTTTTTTTTTTGTAAATTTGCTGTAATCGTTTATTTGTTTATTGAAATAATGTTCTGCATTGAAATTAAGAACGATCAAGTAAAATATATATAGACAGAATTACTTGTTACAAAATTATACAATGTTCAGATATCTGCCAAGAATATATGCTATCCTGTAACCAATTTTGTGGGGGAATACTCTTAACTCAGAATTACAATTTCAATACCGCATTGACCAAATTTAATTTCCGGTTGCAATATTAAACTAATGAAATACGCAGGCTCATTACAAATCTTTACCGTTATTTTTATATGTTGGGAATTTACAGAGCACACCGAAAACAACACCAACAACAATTATGTAATAGTTTTTAGTAAAAAATAGATATTTATTTTATTGCCTTGTATTTTAAGTGGCAATTGCGTTTCGTTGCGTTGTTGGAGTGTCTGTTTCGTCATAATACCTCTGGATGAAGTCACATTAAGTCCTACCCTCCCATTCAGCAAAACACTCATTTTTTTTACAAAAAATAACTGAAAATACGAAACAAACAAGAAAAAAGAAATAGATTTAACGAATCGAAACCCCCGACTGGTGTTAACAGACCACCAAAATTTATTGCCGTCAGATTGAATGAAAATTGTGTGTTAAATAATAACACAATTGCTGGTAATTTCTTTCGCCGACCTAAGTACGGCGCGGCATTAGGAAAAATGTTGCAGCAGTTGCTAGCTACTCCTGCTCACAGCAACAGCAACAAACAAACATGTTGGGGGTTTTCTTCAATTGTCCCAGTGTCGTTGCCGCTGCATTGAAGAAAGCATGGAAAATAAATAATAAGTAATTAAAAAATAAAATTTTAAAACTGAACGCATACATTTCGTCATGCTAATTTATGCGTTTTATTTACCTTTTTTTTTTGTTTCAGAAGCTTTGCACAGTGGGTCAAGATATGGATTTTACCGGCTTTAGTGGAAAATTTGCTGTCCGACGTTGTCATACTTTCAAGTTGGTATTCTTTGAATAAGAAATCAAAGTTGGTCAATCACCCGAAGATCTCTACAAATATTCCAATTTGAAATCTGAATATTTTTTATCAAACGCGGTTAGAGAATGTGGACTGACTACTCCTCTCAAATGGTTTAAATTTTCAACAGGCGCCGACTACGACAATATTGTTCTATATTTTGTGGTACCTCCCCCATCAAGGAATAATATTTTGAATAATGTGAAGATGGAGTCCAACTCCTAACAAAATTAAATTGTATGTAATTTAGGATTTATTCCTATAAGATTCACAAGGCAAACTTACATACTTTTATTCGAGCAAGTAATGAGTGAAAGAATTAATAACCTCCATAATTAGAAGACAATTTAAATAAAAGTATCTGGATTCACACGTGTTCCGCTTTAATCTTCAAATACCAGTGAGATTGCTTGAAGAATTCAGTAAATGTTTTAAAATACAGTAAAGTGGGTAGAACCGTTATATGTCCTTAACCTTTAACGGATATGGACAATGCTTGACATCTGTCGTAGAACCCCATATGAACTACAAATATCGAATATGACATCGACCAGACGACGTGCCACGCAAAGGGGTCTTTACAGGGAATTTTGGTGCAAGACCAGCTGTTAGCTGCTGACCACCAATCGTGTCTAACATACGCTTAAACCATCCTTAATCACCACCAGGAAGGAGAAGAAGATTTTTCATCAAAAATAATAATGAGTAATGAGGCCCATTTCTATCTACGCGGGTACGTAAATAAGCAAAATTTACTCTTTACCCACGATGAGCCATTACACCCGTTCAAAGTCTCTGTATGGTGTGCTGTTTTCTCTGGAGGAGTCATCGGACATTTTTTCTTCGAAGACGTTGCGGACCAACAGACGGACGGTTACTGTGAATGGTGAGCGCTTCAAAGCAACGACTTTTTTTGCCGCAACTTGATGAGTTGGGATTGGAAAATATGTGGTTCCAACAGGACGGTATAAAGGCACACACTGCAAGTGCCACAATCGATATGCTGAAGAATTCATTTTCCGGGCGATTTATCTCCGGTTTTGGCGATTTTTACTGGCCAGTAAGAGCGCCTGATTTGACCGCTCCAGGCTTCATTTTGTGGGGTTTTTTGTGGGGGTGAAGTGTGGTCTTATACCAACAAGCTTCAGAATCTTTCAGCCCTGAAAGACAATATCCGTCAAGAACGTAAGGACCCATTGCCGGAAGTTTTGGCCAAAGTGATGAAAAATGCCATAAAAGGGCTCAAAACATCATATTCTCGACGAATATGACGAATTATGGTCTTCAAACAGCCAATGAAAACGTCACACGCTGGCGAATATTGCTCTGCGGTATTTTGGCCCATTCCCGGCGAAGCGCTTGCTTGAGGTGATCGACACTTTGGTATATTTGAGTGCCAACCTTGCTTTCCACAATACTCCAGACACAATAGTCCAACGGATTTGTAACCGGAGATTTTGGTGGCCATTCTGCTCTGGAAATGAAGCGAGGAAGCACATTTTATGACCATTGGATGCATTGGTGCTAAGTCCTGTTGGAAGGTCTGCGGCCAAAATGTTTGCATGCCCAAAGCTCTAATACATCCTCCAGAATATTTTCGCGATAATATTCGTCATATACCTCTTTGGCAAGTAAGCACGATCATTTTGTTTGTTTACAAACTGCTGGACAACAAAAAAACCTATCTCATCGGAGAAAACCAATTCGGTAGTTCACCACTTTCAGCCAAGCGAAGCAACTCTTTAGCTCTTTAGAGTCTATTTTTTTCTTGCACTTTTGGGAATTTCAATGGCTTTACCTCGGGCTCATTTTGCAGTATTTGTCGAATGGAATATTACGATATGTTCAGCTCACGAGTCATTTTTTGAAAAAATCAGAGAATATGACGCTTAAAAATCAAAAGATTTCAACTTCAACCCTAATCTCAGGTGAACGAAATATATCAAAAAAAACCTTGTGAAATTGAACATAAATTCTATTCTAAAAAAAAATTCTAGTGTGATTTTTAAAACATATTTATTGGGTGTTGGTGTCACTTTAGTAAATACTTACTTCCTACGACACGTCCATGTCAAAGCAAATTTGCAAATTGGTAACTTACTGGTGCCGAGATGTTCTCAAAACCCCAGTATTTGGTAAAGAGATTTTTCTGCCGGGAATCGCACAATTTAAGATATTCTACAGGAGTCACATACATTTTACGTCTAAACATCCAGTAATGAGGTAAGAAACCTTCTTGCAATCAATTGTAAGTATGGGTCCAAGATATTGACATCTTCGAACAAGGGATATGTCAACTCTGAAGAGTGTCATCTAAGTGTATTTCTTTAAAGGTTAATATTCACATTAGCGGTGCAAAATGTTCACCATAACTGATTCCAGGAATTATTAAATGGTTTTATGAAAATACAAAAAATGATATCCTGAAATTTAAATTTTTGAAATTTTCTTTAATTTTTTTTTCAATTTTACTCTAATGATTGCACTGTGCTTTATTAAAATTAACTTCAAATTGTTTACTACTAACATTGTTGTTGTGGTTTAACACGATATTATTGTTGTTTATTGCATAGAGAGAGAGACAACGTAATAAGTACATTTTATCTATTATTTAGCCCCAAAAAACAATTCGAGTGGTTATAAAAACAAAATAGTGTAATTACAATTGACCAACATTTACATTTACAATGTGAGCCTGTGAATTGGGATGGCGTTGCGATGCGATGTGTTGATAGAGGCCACAACGATTACCGCCAGCAATGATGCGTTAACGGTAATGAATCTTTGCACAATCCACCAGAAAAATGAAACAGCAGCCACTTCCTCCACCCCGTCTTTTTTTATTTTTGATAAAACCCAAATCCGAATAACAACTTTTTAGGTCTTGTGAATGGCCAGTAGACTTTCAAGTGCAGCCATTAATGGTCCATCTAATAAAACGTACAGCAACAAAGAGCTGACATAGGTCGCCAACAGGCAACCCATAAACATTGCGATCTGAAATTATAAAAAAATACATATTTATAGAAAACGTTATCATTCCGAAAAGTTTACTTACAATTTGTCCTGTGGACCAATAAATTGGAACATCGCCGCTGAAGAGTATTAAACGTATTATGAGCGGTGCAATTAGAACATTGATTGGAGTTAGTCGCTCCAGGGCATTTGCATATTTGAAACTAAGAATTCTGTAAATAAAATCTAATTGAGAAAAGGACAGATGAGTTAGACATGTGTTTAAGAATCATACTTCCGATATGATCATATTAATAGCTATCGAAATAATATATCAGTTGATAGGTAAATAATGTGCTTTATCGTAATTAAGTCTTAGACCCCTTAAAACTCTTTGAGTTTTGAGTCAATCTTTCCATGAGAGTATATCTGTGTGTTCGGCTGGTGTGGACGATAAATCTCGAAGGGGGCATAATTTCAAACAATGGATATGATATTTTTTTTGACAAATTGGCCAATCCTACAAATTGGGGCAGCCTACAAAGTTCGAATTGATCTAAATTATATATTTAAATCGCATTTAAGGCAAACCGGATACTCCCGATTTTTCAATTTACGAGAGTTATTGTTGAGCCTTTTTTGTGCTACCTATCTGATATAAATATTACGATGCGAGGTTGGTTGAAATTGAACAATAAATCTTGTAAAGTAAAAAATCTGTGCCTCATTTTCTTCAACCTTGGCATAACTCAACATTTTTGCCAATGGTAAATATATCGGTCCTCTCTGTACCTGTCTACATATGTCTACACATAGGCAATATTTACATCACATTGAGAATTACAAATGTCGGCCCACTCCTACTCGTACCTCTCCCACAAAAGGTATAAGATTTGAAAACTAAAAACTTTCATTGAATTCGAAATCAGTGTTCGATTCTCCTCAAATTTAACTCATCCCATTTTGCCAATATTATATTTTGTGTGTGTATCGTCCTCTTGTGAGAAACTCCCACTCAATGAGTTAAATAAAAAAAATAATAGATTTGAACAACATAACAGTTAAAATCGTAGAAGTAGCCCCTAGTATACTACAAATTACACAAGTCCTAATGTTTTTGGCACTATCAGAAGATGTGTGAAAATGGAATATATAGATCCCCTCTATCTGACATCATTGACTCTGATAAAAAAATATCATAAAAGACGACACTGAACGACGATAAATTGGTTTACTCTTTACTGGTACATCGCTCAGAAATTATTGAGATTTTGGAAAATTCGTTTTGATCTTAGCTTTAATTCCATCAAATTCAGGTATTTCTTTATGAAAAACACAGACCCTTCCTTTCGTACATCTACCACAAAGAGTCGGTTTAGAGGGTATATATCATTTGATATGGCCCAAAACGTGCCTAATCGAAATAATGGTTTTAGATCCTTGGTCTCTTTGGACCAAATCCGTTTCAGGACATTTGGAATCGATCTAGCGATGTCCGCCCTCCCGTCCATCCGTCTGGCTGGCTGGTATGGATAATATACCTCAAAGGGAGTATACGATTTGATCCAAACTTGGTACATTGTAATATTATTATCACATTTGAATCGACTTCGGAGATGGGCAATATCGGTCCACTTCTTCTGGCACCTCCCCCACAAAATATCAACATTTTCAAAGAAAATTATTTACTGCACAGAAAGAGAAAGGATAATCCGATTTTGCTCCAACATTACAAATCCCAATATTTGCATGAGTGCTAGGTCAGGTACGAAAATGGACAATATAAGTCCACTCCATCAAGTAACTCCCCCACAAAGGGTCAAAATTTTGAATAATTATAACTCTTATAAAATGTGATGTAAGAGTCCAATTGTTTTAAAATTAACCCAAGGTCTGGTGCGAAGATGGAATATATTGGTCCATACCTTCTGGTACCTCCCCCACAAGGGGTCAAAATTTTGAATATCCATGAAGCTCATAAAAGGCAAAATTAACATCTGGTTCCATTCAGAATTGGTACATCTCAATGTATCCATCAACAGATGGTAGAGATCAGACCATTCCCCCTGGTACCTGCCCCACAAACGGTTTAAATTTTGAATAACCAAAACGATCTTAAAATCCAAAATAAGCATCCACCACCCTTAATATTTCATACATCCTATTATTTCTGCTAACACAAGGTCTGAAGTGAAGATGGGATACATCGGTCCAACCCTTCTGGTACCTCCCCCATAAAGAGTCAAAATTTTTAATACCCATGAATATTTTGAATATCCATTCAGACTTGGCACATCTCAATATTTCCATGAACACAAGATCTGTTATAAAGATGGTAGAGATCGGACCACCTCTTCTGATACCCCACCCACAGAGGGTCACAATTTCCAATACTTATATCTGTCATAACTTGAGAAACAAGTCATCGATTCTTTACATATTGCTATATATAAATATTTCTCTCAACCATAAATCTGATATGAACACGTATTTTATCGAAATTTATGATTTCGCATAAAATTGGATATAATTGTTCGCTTTCCTTCAAATGCAGAGATACCAATATTTTTATCTGTATGAAAATTTATTATTTCGGTCTGCTACATCATCATACATCATCTCACGCATATTTCCACTTTTTCCAAAAATTTGCACTGATATCATATAAAGTATGAGAAGTAGTCGATATAGTCAAAATCTGACAAGTTATGATATTTAGGTCAGATACTAATTGGTCAATATCATATTTATTTAGGTCCGATACCAAATTGACAATATTGGCCTATTCTTTCAAAACCCACTCCATAGAGGGTAAAGAGTTTAAATAATCATAACATAAGTCAAAATATTTTTAAATAATCGAACATTGGCTGAGGGTATACATCAGTCAGTTACTTGTTTTCATTTATTATTTTTTTTCTTCAAAATTAATGTATTTACACAACAAAACAATGTTCCTTTAAAAGTGTAGAAAAATGAAAATAATTTTCAAGGGGTATGACCCTGGTTTCGCAAAGATCGACTACTCTTCCATAATTCTTTCCACATTCACTTTTATTTATAATTCTTATTTCTTCCAGATTTTTTTCTTAAGCCCACCTGAATGGGATAACTAAAAACTTACCTCCATAATTTGATTGTGCTGTCAATACAATCCAAGAGATCATGCAATTCCACATCAAATGTGTCAGAACATTTAGAAATGATCTTAGCCACTTGTTCAGGTGGAACATAAAGAAATGAACACCGAACACATAAATGCCCACCAGGGTGAAAACCACAATCCAACCTAAAAGATATACAATCTGAAATTATTCAAAAACACCTAGAAACACCTAAAAATTAATTAGTTGTTTTATACCCATCACAAAAACAAATATATTCAAATGGAAATTATGGTTGCTCCTGTAGATGACGTGGCCCAAATAAATACCCAAAAGATATGGCATCACAAATAGACAGATGTTATCCACAACCAAATTGAAATGAGTCAATTCATAGAGCAGCGAGGTGCTATTCGAATAAAAGGAGATACATTGTTGTAACATTTGGCAAGCATGTTAACATATCGCCAAAGTTACTCAAAGAGTATCACATCTCAAACTCTAAACACTCATTTCTGAGTAATGTAATTTCTCTGAGTAAATTAGCGATATGAGTAATTCACTTACGTATAACCATAATGGTGGGTTACCCCCCACAGCCATAAGCTGGCAGCCATTGCTGACAAAATGATTAGCGATATACCCATTATCATGGCATAACACATTTGCAGCTCCACCAGAAGCATCAGCAGGCAGGATACGATATAAAATTGAATTTTCAGGGCTATAAACCAGGCCCAAGGCATGCACTGAGAAAATTAGAAGAGATGGTATGGTTATGATTTCACATTCATCAGGTAAGATGACTTTGCATACCCTTTCGGTCAGCGGAAAAAACGTATCCATGTAGAAGATATTAAACATTTGATTTTGCGAACAATTTTTGTAGTCTCGAGATGGTATTTCCAGTGTTACATTGAAATAGAAATATTTGTCTAATACCAGTGAGGCGTAAAGCACAAAGGTATATGAGGGAGTTAAACTGGAAAAAAATATAGAAAAAAAAATAATAAAGATAATAATGGTGCTATCTTTCAATTCTAAACTGCGGAGTAAGAGAGAGAGAGAGTTATATAAGACATAAGCTTCCTGTGATAATGATATATAGGATCTAAAGAAATTATGACTAATTTGAAAGGAAAACTACTTTTATAACCCTCCACCATTTGGAAAGAATTTGTCAAATATAAAATAAAACCAGTAAGGAAAGCTCAAAAGTCGGGCGGGGCCGACTATATGATACCCTTCAAAACTATGCATATTTAGTAGAGCTCTCGTAAAAGAAAACTTTATATTGGGCATTTCTGAGCTCTATGAGATATCTGGTACGAAATATGATTATGGTAGAGTGCATATTCCGAGATTTAAACACCAAATCGGATGAAACATATATGTGGGAGCTATATCTATATCTAAAGCGATTTTCACCAAATTTTAAGTATTAACTTCTTGAATGAATTCGCTTAAGTGCAGCATTTCACACACTTTGAGCTGAAATTACTCATTTGGCTATATCCGTTCTTGATAAAATTTGAATCATGTATTGTTTTGCTGAATCTAATATCAGGTAATAAATATAATTTTTGTGGGGTGTATATTACGAATGTGAGGGATCAATGAAACATATATATATGGGAGCTATAGCTATATCTGAACCAATTTCCACCAAATTTAAAGTACTTATTTCTATACTAAATTCCGTCGGAAGTGCCAAAATTCACACCATTTGGACTGATATTAGCCATTTGGTGCACAAGAAACCCAAAATAGGATGAAGATATATATGGGAGCTATATCTAAATTTGGACCGATTTTTATCAATTTAAATAGGGTTCCTCCTTGAGCCAAACAAATGTTATTTAGAAAATTTCATCTCAATCGAATAATAAATACGACCTGCATTTTGTTTCCAAAAATACATGGACAGACGAACAGACAGACAGACAAACGGACATGCATAAATCGACTAAAAAATGTGATTCTATGCTGATCACCAAAAGGAACTATGGGTCTATCTCGTTTCCTTCTTCATGTTACAAACAAATGCACAAAAACATAATACCCTTACCGGCCGGGCCGAACTTTTAATACCCTCTACCTTTGGGTAAAGAAACAAAATTTATATAAAAGTATCTGAATTCTAACATGTTCCACTTTAAACTACAAATGCCAGTAAGATCGTTTGGATAATGCTGTTAAACTTTTCAAAAACCCATGAGGTGATGCCGTTATATGGGGACATACCAAAACGGGAACCTCTATAGACCATTTTATACTTCAAGGATTGTCATCTACCAAATTTTGTTAAATAAGAAATTTCAAATAAAACAAGAAGGAATATCCAAATACCGAATGTATGTGGGTATCGTTATATGTGCGCTATAGGAAAACGTGGATCCAAATATTCAATTTTCCGCCAGCGGAACTAGCTCTTTTATGACCTACAATTATGACCTACAAATACAAATTTTTAGATAAATCCGAGAAAAAATGTGGCGAAAATCATCAAAGTGCCGAATATCGAGAGTTTCCCTTATATAGGGGCTATACAAAACCCTGGATGTATACATAAATTGTTTCGCACCGAAGCTAGAACCCATTATGACCTACAAATACCAATTTTTAGATAAATCCGAGAAAACATGTGGCGAAAATCGTCAAAATACCGGGAGGTACCGTTATACAGCGGCTATACCAAAACGTGGACCGATATATGTAATTTTCAATACCAATCATCCTAAACGTAGAACCAAATTTTGAAGCTTTACGTCAAATAATGTGGGCTGTATCATGATTTTAACAGACAGACGGAAATCGTTAAATCGGCTAAGAATTTTATGCTGATCATGAAAATATATACTTTTTGGGGTCTACGACGAATATTTAGGGAGGTTACAAATGGAATGACAAAATTAATATACCCTCTATTTCAAGGTGGAGGGTTTAAAAATAGTATATTCTTGCAGTTTCTGGAATCGTGTAATTACTATGAAAAGTTTCATTATTGCTATAAAAAATTCTACTTGAAGTGTATTTAAGAAATGTTTTCCTTATTGAATGAATGAATTTACCAGCACCAATTGAAAATAATTTATTGTTTAAGAATATCAATTGAAATATAAAATAATTTTTTGTTTGTCCTTTACACAACAACGAATTCCAATAATATGGAATCGACTGTGTATATCCTTAATAAATTCATGTCTAAAAATATACTTTACACATTCGGTTTTGAAAAGAGAGTTTGGAGAGTTTTTCAATTTATTAATAAATTAAGCATACCTTAAGGGGTGGCATAAAAAGTCAACACAAAAATAGTCATTAACGTTTCCAATTTGTCAGTACATTAATTAAGTTCAATGTGCATAAGGGAAAACTTTTAGAAGCTATTTTTTAGCAGGAAAAAGCAACATCGCCCCTCTATCTTGGATTCAATTTTGCGGTGAAACCCCATATTCCATTCATGTTTTGCGGTTTTTCCCCAAAACAGTTATTTTTTGGAAAAAAAATGTAAATTAAACAAAACCGATTTTAGCATGTTTAAAAGTATATCTGACACTATAAGACTCCGGTACAGAGTTACATTTTCCTAGTTTCTTTGAAGTGGAGCAACCTTTCTTATTGTGCCATGATTTTACCCTACCTCATTGTGCATTTGTTCATAACATTCATAAGAAACTGGATAGACCCATAGTTCCTTTTAATGTAGACCATAGAATCAGATTCTGAATTGATTTATGCAAGTTTTGATGAAATGTTATACTGATCATTTGTTTGGCAGAAGGACGAAAGCAATTTAGACGCAAACTTGCTAAAAAAAAATTTCGACCGAATTCAGTCTAGAAGCAATTGTACCCCCTTTAATAAGAATGGGTTTAAATATAGCCATAGATATGTTTCATCCTAAACCTTGATATTTAAGTCGCCCACAATCGTAATATGCTCTCCATAACAATAATTTTCTATACAAAGTATCAGATACTGCTTACGGTGCTAAATGTGCACCAAATGTGTATTACTTGTCCAAAATCTATGGATTTCGGCACATACGACCGAATTTAGCGAAAAATTAAATTTGCTTAAAATCGATTCAATTTAGCTATAGCTCCGTTAATTACAAGGTGATATGGGAAAACTGCAAGCAACTTCAGACTGCTGTCATTTCTAAGCCACTCGTCCAACAGCTGTTGAAATTATTTCAGTGATCGCTCATTATATTGTTTACAAGCGTAGAATTTTCCAGAAAAAAGTTATTCGTGATGGAATTGAAGTGTGATAGTGTGATTTCTTTATATTTGACTGGAAAACCACAAGTGGCTATCGTTAGAGCACTCCAGCATTTAAATGTGAATAAATCTTTTGTGTCTTGTACCATCGCTCGTTACCGTGATACTGATAGCGTAGCCCGACGTCAAGGAAGTGGACGGAAGTAAATAACAACATCAGCAGAAATGGTTCGAAAAGTAAAGAAGCGACCTGATCGAAACCCGCGTCGCAGCGGGCGAAAAATGGCTCGTGAGCTGAACATAACGCAATGAACCATTCGGCAAATATTGCAAAATGAGCTCGGAGTAAAGCCGTTGAAAATCCAAAAAGTGCAAGAACTTACTCCGCAACAGAAAGAAAATAGACTCAAAGGAGCTAAAGAGTTGCTTCACTTGGCCGAAAGTGGTGAACTGGCGAATTTGGTTTTCTCCGATGAGAAAACATTCGTTGTCCAGCAGTTTGTAAACAAAAAAATGATCGTGTTTACTTGCCAAAGAGGTCGCTGAAAATGTGCACCTTGAGTTGGCCACAAGAACTCAATCGCCGGCCATAGTGATAGTGTGGGCTGCCATAACAGCCGATGGTCGCTCTCCGCTCATATTAGTCGACCGTGGCATCAGAATAAATGCCGAATATTATCGCGGAAATATTCTGGAGGGTATATTAAAGCCTTGGGAACGCAACCATTTTGGCCGCAGACCTTGCACATTCCAACAAGACTCAGAACCATCGCATTCAGCACGCGTCACCCAAGAATGGTTACCAAAAAAATGAGGTTCCTCGCTTTATTTCCAGCGCACAATGGCCACCAAAATTTCCGAATACCAAGGAGTATTTTGGAAAGCATGGTTGGCACTAAAAATACCAAAGTTTCGATCACCTCAAGCCAGCGCTTCGCCGGGAATGGGGCAAAATAGCGCAGAGCAACGTTCATTGGCCGCTTGAAGGCCATAATTGGTGCCAAAGGTGACCAATTTGAACAAATCTAAACTTATTCTAAAATTTGCTTGCATTCAATAAAATTTAAACAAAATGTAAAAGTGATGGCGTTTAACTTTGTTGCAGTTTTTATACCCTACACCACAAGGTGGTCAGGGTATTATGTCTTTGTGCATTTGTTTGTAACAGGCAAAAGGAAACGAGATAGACCCACAGATCCTTTTGATGATCTGCATAGAATCACATTCTGAGTCGATTTATGCATGTCCGTCCGTCCGTCTGTCCATGTATTTTGTAAACAAAGTACAGTTCGCATTTATTGCCCTATCCAGATGAAATTTTGCACAAATCAATTGTTTGGCCCAAGGGCGAACCCAATTGAAATTGGAGATAATCGGTCAAAATTTAGATATAGCTCCCATATATATCTTCGTCCGATTTGCCTTTTATTGTGCACCAAACGTGTAATATAAGCCCGAATAGTATGGAATTTTGCAAATACAACCAAATTAGGCCTGAAAATAAGTATGCCAAAATTGATCGAAATCGGTTCAGATATAGCTATAGCTCCCATATATATTGTTCATCCGATTTGTTATTTTTGTCCTCTGTAGCCGTAATATGCACTCTGTAACAACAATATTTGGGGAAATATATCAAATACAGCTCAGAAATACATTTGCTAAATTTTATCGAGATCGGTTCAGATTTGGATATAGCTCCCACATATAACTTCGTCCGATTTAACTTTGATTGTGCACCAAACGTCTAATATTTGCCCAAATTGGATGAAATTTGGCACTTACGACCGAATTGAGTCTAAAAGCTAGTATATCAAATTTGGTGAAGACCGGTTCAGATATAGCTATAGCTCCCTATATACTGTTCATCCGATTTGTCATATTTGTTACCCACAGCCGTAATATGCACTCCGTAACAACGATATTCAGGGAAATATATCAAATACAGCCAAATTTTATCGAGATCGGTTCCGATTTGGATATAGCTCCCATATATATTTTTATCCGATTTCAAATTAATTGTGCGCCAAATGGGTAATACAAGTCCGAATTTAAAAGTTACAAATGCTTCGGCATATTTAGTCCTTTGAACTTTAAATTATAATTATAATCATAGCGTGTATGATTGAATTCTTCCATAAAAACTTTTAATTGTTATGTGGAGCTCTACTAAACTAGCAAAGTGGTGTAGGGTATCATAAAGTCGGCCCCGCCCGATTTTAAGTCTTTCTTTACTGGTTTTAATATCACCCTGTATACTTTCGTCCGAATTAATTTCAATGAAATTTGGAATATGTGACGTAATTTGGTACAAAAACAAATTTTTAATCGGATACTCCCTTTAAGTGTTACAGTGTGCTCGTGGCTACATTGAATCCAAATGCCCTGAAATGGCAAAAAGACTTGGAGCCTGAAACCATTATTTCAATGAGGAAAATCTCGTCCGTATTAAATTTAATATAGCCTCTAGTAAATAAAGTATTAATTCATACCAAAAGTCAAACTTACCCAATTATTTTGTAGACAATTAACTTGAAAACATATTTCAGTTGTGCAAATGAATGCAATTTATCCTTTGGTAAGGATCTGAAGAAATCATACGAAAGATTGGCTCCGCTAAAATAAAGGTAATGATACAATTCAAATCTTGTTCTATAAAACTTGTTAACCGTCAAAAATACTCAACTTGATTAGAAAATAAATATCCATTAGAAATATATATCGCTTGAGTAGAACGTCTCTCTGCTTCACCTTGTTATTGATCATGCCCAGATCCAAATTATTTGACATAAAACTATATTCGCCGATAAGATGCATTGTAAGAAAGGCCAAGGAAAATATGAACATCATTCCGCACAGAGGCGTTGAGGTGGATTGCAGTAAATCATAGACAACATTGGATAACGATATTGAATCCAATAATTCTTCGAAATAAAATGAATACTGAGGTGATATCTTCTTGTGTACACTTTCTGAAAATATCAAATTTGAAAAGTAAAAAAGTAAAGCAAATGAAAATAACCTGTGTTACCTTGTCCCTTTGTGGAGTTTCGAGTCATTGTGAATTGCCGCAAATCCACACTGCCCAGAGTACTTTTCCATTCGCCCACATTGACAAATGTATTGTCCAGTGATGCCTTACTCTTTTCAGACTTTTCTTCTTCCTGCCCTGGTGGGCATTTGAGATTAGAATTCATATTCCTTCGGTTAACTTGTACAAAGTATTTTCGCAGCAAATACACCGTCAAATGGATTAGCAGGCAACCAAATAGTATTATTCTAAAAATAACAAACTTAACGGCAAATCATAAAATATACACCCGAACTCACATCATTATATAGAAATTGAAATCTTCATAGACGCGATAGTTTTTGGTAACAATGCGATGTCGAATATAAGTCACATTCCGAACATATGTGGTTGTTTGAAATAAATAAACTTCCAGGATTTCTTTTAGATCTGAATTAGTACATGACTTGGGAAAGCAAATCATTTGTTGGATTTTTTCGAACTAAAAATAAAAAAGTTAAGTACATGGTACAATAAGGAGGTAGAACAGCATCGCAAAACAGCAGAAATGTACCCCTGAGGCAATGCCCGCTTCCTGTCAAATTTGCATGCAACAAGTTTTTTTCATTTATTCAATATTTTTCCTCATTTTAAATTGAGTTGAATAGCGCGTAAAATGCATTAAATGTCTTAATTTTCTTTCAAAAATATGATCTAAACAGTTTAATCTTTCAAATCCAATACAAAATTGGCGAATGCGCGCCCCGCAATCTACGGTTCTTCCAATCATTTGTTTTTAATTTTTTTTTTTTCAGAACAATAAATACATACACAAAATTGGCAGAAGTCGGGCACTCTTAGAAAAAAATTGTAATCAGCTGGTAGCTATACCTTACCTTTTTGTTGTACCATGGTTAAGTATGTATTTAAATTATTTTATTATTTGACTTTGCCAGTGATTTTTTTTGGCTCCAATGTCCTTATATACTATAGAAATGACTTACTGTACGAAGTACTTAAATATTCATACATAAATATTCATACATAAATACAAATCATAAAAATATAAGTGACCCAATAATTCCGAAATTCCAAAATGGGCAAAGAGAGCGGTTGGAGTGAGATATTTTGACAGTTCTTTCATTGAGAGTTTGCAAATTCTTGCTGGAAAAATTCCTCCTTGCAACTCTTCTTCTCATTCATCGATATTTTCTATTGTTTGTTTACTTCTTTTTGTGCTTTCAATTTGAATTTTTTTATACCCTCCACCATACTATGGAGCAGTGTTGCCGTTTTGGGCGTTTCCGTCCATATTTGGGCGGAAAAAAGATAAATTTTGTGGTTTGGGCGGATTTTGGGCGGATTTTTTCCATATTGGGTACAAATTTATTTTTCATTGTTTATTTTTTTATTTGTTAATTTTTTTCATTGTTAATTTATTTTTTAATTTATTTTATTTTTTTCATTGTTAATTTTTTTATTACTAACTGAATTTTATATTTTTTTTTATTGAGATGAATCGTTATTTATTTTATAGATTTTTGTTAAGTTTTTTAATACATTAGGCTATAGTCGTGCGGGGCCGACCTTGTGATACCCTACAACACTAAAATATGTTAGAAGCCCCCTCATGTCCAAATCCATTTTGGAAGATTTCGCTTTTGAAATTATTTCTCGGAGCACTGCCCAGATATTACCCTTAGCATTTTGTCCAAGGACATTTGCCCAATATTTACGTGCTGTTAGTTGTTGTGGGCCATTTTATAGCATATATATTCCAATGGTCATCCAAAATGCCAGAATTCTTCCCTGTGTTTACCTATCTTCTCAGGGGTGTCGATTGGCTTCAATTGTGTGATCAGGAAATTTTTTTCTTTTTTTGGTTCATTAAAACCCCTAAATATTTTGCGATCATCTCCAAAAGCAATAGGCCCATCTGTGTCTCCAAATTTAGACTCATCTATATGATTTACTTGTCTACGATATTTGGCTATATTCGTCAACGAAATCAGCATAAAAAAGCCAGAAGTTCGCCTATTGTGTATCGCCTGTAAGTAATGTTGGTATTTTTTTTACACAAAAGTAGTGGTCCATTCTACCCGCTGTCATAAGCTCTAACTTCATGCGAGATTTCGAGTCCTTAGGTTTATATTTGGGACCTTTATAACGGCTGCAAAATCAGGAACATTTTGAGTTGCTGGTCCATTTCAACCCCTAAATATATTGCGGACATCTTTGAAAACAATAGGCTAAGCCCTTCTGAGCCTAACCCTACCTTTGTGAAAAATTTCGTGAGGATCGAACGACAATTGCAATCTGTATATAAATAATAACCCTAACCTGTGTTGTAAAGTGAAAAAATATTACAAAACAAATACTTCAATATTATAAGTCAATTTGAAAAAATCGCTTGCGATAAAAAATATGAAAAAATTAAAAAAAAAAGTCACAAAATACTACAAAATCTATATGAACATCATTATTGGTATCTTTTATGCAATTTTTTAGTATTTATACTTTAATGCCACAAGGGCATTCTAAATTGACAAAATTTGTCAAAATCGCTCCAGCCATTCTGAAGATATAAGCATTCTAGCTGACATCCCCTTCCTTTGTATATATACACTGTATATATTTCTCTATATATATCTGATATTTTTACTATCGGCATCTACGTAACGGTCAGAATTGACCTGTTTGTCTATTTGCGATTTCGCAGGCAGTAAAAATATTCGCGGATTAATGGAAAAATTGACTTTTATTTATCGCAAATCCTATGGTCTACTAAACCACTAAATATTATCCGATGACCATCAAAAGTGGAAGGCTTCTGCCCAGTCCAAAGCTCTAGCCCCATGCTAAATTTCGATTGGTCTATAATTGTGACCTGTATAGCAACTGCAAAATCAGGAAATTTTTCAGTTTTTGGTCCATTGCAACACCTAAATATTATGCGATCATCTCAAAAGAAAAAGGGTTCTATTCTGATCTTAACCCCAGCTACATTCTAAATTTCGTGAAGATCGGGCCATAATTGCGACCTGTAGAGTGATTACAAATTAACATGTACAGACGGACGGACATACATAGCTAAATCGACTCAGCTCGGCGAGATAGGAAGATCCATATATACTTTCGTGGTGTCACATAATTTGTGGCCCAATCAAAGTTATAATACCCCAACACATAGTTTGTAGGGTAGGGTTTGTAGGGTATAAAAACCTGAATAATAATAATGATTTTAATGTATTTAATACATTGAATTCTTATATTATGTTACTTTTCAAATATATATATATATATATATATATATATATATATATATATATATATATATATATATATATATATATATATATATATATATATATATATAAATATAAAAAACTTGAAGTAAAATAACATAAAATTTTTATTTTCTCTAATGTATTTAATACATTGAATGTAATAAAACGTGAGTACCTTTTCTATGTATAGTGTAAAATTTTCAATAAAATTTACTTGAATACAAACTACATATAAATTATTCAACTTTTTACAGTTTGGGCGGATATGGTCGATTTTTTGCGGTTTTTAGAAAAAATTTGGGCTGAAATAAAAATTTCAAACGGCAACACTGCTATGGAGGGTATATTAACTTTGTCATTCCGTTTGTAACTCCTCGAAATACTCATGTCAGACCCAACAAAGTATATACTTGATCAGCGTAAAATTCTAAGACGATTTAGCCATGTCCGTCTGTCTGTCTGTCTTTCGAATGAATTGAGATAGATGGCTAAAATTTTGCACACATGTTTATTTTTCCAGTAGGCAGGCTAAGTTCGTAAATGGGCCATGTAGGTCCACGTTTTCATATTGCTCCCATATAACGGTACCTCCCGATATTCGGTATATTGATGATTTTAGCGTCAGTATTCACCAGAATTGTTTCAAATTACGTATTTATTTTTCGTTTTGGGAGCTACAGTCTGTGACAGAAAATTGTCTATGCAGGTCCAGGTCTTCGTATAGGCCTCATATATCAGTACCTCCCTATATTCGGTATTTTGACGATTTTAGGTACAATACTCACCGAAATTGTTTGAGATGTCGTATTTGAAGTTGGTAATGAAAGTCTTCGTATAGCTCCGATATAACGGTACCCCTTATATACCATATTTTGATGATTTTAGCTACATTATTCACCGTTTATTTCTAGTTTCGAATTTGAATATGGTAATGGCTTATGACGAGCAATGTCAATGTATTACAAAAAAGGAAAAGGATAATCAGATTTTGCTCCATATGCGAAATTGGACAATATCGATCCACTCTATCAAGTAACTCCTCCCCAAAGGGTCAAAATTTTGAATAATTACAACTTTTACAAAATGTGATGTAAGAGTTCGATTGTCTTTAAATTTCACACATACCAATATTTTTATAAACCCAAGATTTGGTGCTAAGATGGAAGATATCGGCCCACTTCTTCTGGTAACACCACTACAGAGATTAAAAATTTTGATTATCCATGAAGCTCATAAAACACGAAATTGACATCCGATTCCATTCAGACTTGGTATATTTTAATATTTCCATCAACACAAGATTTGATGGTAGAGATCTTCTGGTATCTCCCCAAATAGTGTTCAAGATTTTCAAAAACAAAACGCTCAAAGAAAGCAAAATAGGCATCCAACTCAGCATTTAAATGTGTATAAATGTTTTGTGTCTCGTACTATCGCTCGTTATCGTGATACTGGTAGCATAGCCCGACGCCAAGAAAGTGGACGGAAGAAAACAGCAATCTCAGCAGAAATGGTTCGAAAAGTAAATAAGCGACTTGATCGAAACCCACGTCGCAGTGGCCTAAAAATGGCTCGTGAGCTGAACATATCGCAATATTCCATTCGGCAAATATTGAAAAATGAGCTCGGGGTAAAGCCATTGAAATTACAAAAAGTGCAAAAACTTACACCGCAACAGAAAGAAAATAGAGTTGCTTCGCTTGGCCGAAAGTGGTAAACTACCGAATTTGGTTTTCTCCGATGAGAAAACATTCGTTGTCCAGCAGTTTGTAAACAAACAAAATGATCGTTCACCTGTCAAAGAGGTCTGCTGAAAATGTGCACCTTCGGTTGGCCACCAGAACTCAAGTTCTGGTCATGGTGTGGGCCGCCATAACAGCCGATGGTCCCTCTCCGCTCGTATTAATCGACCGTGGCATCAGAATAAATGCCGAATATTATCGCAAAAATATTCTGGAGGGTGTATTAAGGCCTTGGACACGCAAACATTTTGGCAGACCTTGGTCATTCCAACAGGACTCAGGACCATCGCACTCAGCACGCGCCACCCAAGAATGGTTACAAAATGAGTTTCCTCACTTTACTTCCAGCGCACAATGGCCACCAAAATCTCCGGATACCAATCCGTTTGACTATTGTGTCTGGAGTATTTTGGAAAGCAAGGTTGGTACTAAAAAATTCCAAGGTGTCGATCACCTCAAGCAAGCGCTTCACCAGGAATGGGTCAAAATACCGCAGAGCAACATTCGGGCAGCGTGCGACGGTTTCATTGGCCGTTTGAAGCCCAAAATTCGTGCCAAAGGTGACCAATTCGAACAAATCTAAACTTATTCTATAATTTCATGATATTTCCGATATTTTTTCATAAAATTCAATCCATTCAATAAAATTTTAAAAGAAAATGTAAAAATTTCGGCGTTTGACTTTGTTGCAGTTTTTTATCTCAGCTTCATATAAAGTATAGGAAGTAGTTGATATAGTCCAAATCTGTCACGTTGTAATATTTATATGATATTTATAATTAGGTCAGATACGAATTGGTCAATATTGGCAAACTGCTTCCGAACCTCCCCCATGACGGGTAAACAGTTTTGAATAATCATAACTCAGGGCTAGGGTATACATCTATTGGAAAAACCGACATATACTATTTTACTTGATGTTATTACTGTTTGAACCATGGCATAATTACAGTAGGTGGAACAAAGCTACACCCCCAAATACATTTTTTTCTTTTGGTGCCCTTATTCTGTCAAGCCATATACACATTTTGTGTATGTGTGTGTTGTTTTGAATAAAAAATACAATAATTTGAAATTATTTCTAATTTGGTTGCAAAATAAATGCAAACTTTCGACGAAATGGGTAACAAAGTTAAGGTTAATTATTTAATACTTACCCGAAAATAATTATCATATCCAATTTCCATCAAAAAGTGACCGGATATCAATTGAACATCGAATGGCAAAACGAAGAGTTTATAATTTGGATTAGAGGTACGTAACTGAAGATCGTTATACTGTTGCGAAAGGTAGCGGCATAAATTTGGATTGTGCATGCGGGCCGAAGTACCCGAAAAAGCGGCACCCGCATAATAACTGGTGGCATCATACACTTTTTCAAAAAAAAAAAAAAAATAAATAAATAAATAAATAATAATTCATAATAATGTTAAACATGAATAATCACGCTTTCCAAGCAGAATCACTACACATTGACCTACATTTCACGGCCCAGTATTCACCATTACGCAGTCCCTGGACATAGACGTACATGTCCCTGAAACAAGTCTGTGTTACATTCCACTCCTTGTCACTGAACTCAAAGAATCGAATGAGAGCATATGGACTAAATGTCTCGAATGCATAATTCACGCTAGTCACTATGGCTGCATTGCTATAGACGCCCAGCCTTGTTGTAGACGCGACCAGAAAACACACTGCCACAAGCTGAACTGGAAAGCGAGATACTAAACTACATTTGTTCATAACGAAAGCTAATAACAGACTACAACTACCACTCTGTGCCAAGGTCTTTGTTTAGTCTTCCAGTCATCTTCACCGAAAGGAAGAGTAACAGACATACATGAATATTTTCATTATTTGTTTTCCTCTTCTTTAATCTTTGGAACATTTTAAAATTAGTAACGTGAATAGAAGAGAAAAGCAAGATAAAATTGAAAAGTCTCATCGAAACAAATATGCATATTATCCAAAGTATAAATTACGTGCTAACGGCAGCACATACAAGCGGGATGATGTAGCAGAAATTAATCAAGAATGGTAATGGTTGAAGCCTCAAAAATAATAACTTTTCTAGTAAAATTTACTCAGTAAATATGTCAAGAAGTCATAGAATAATGTTCCGCAAAAATCCAGGAAAGAAACAGTTTATTTTCCCAAAGTGTATATGTTCAACTTATAAATGCCTGAGAAACTTTGTTCAAAATTGGAATTTTTGAAGTGGTGGTCATTCAATGGTACAATACACATCATGCTGCAAGGGTACACGCTCTAGGAATGTGGATAGATAGATCTTACGGACATGCCTGCGGGCTTCTCAAACTATCAAATTAGAAACTCTGATTCCTGCACATCAGGAATAAATTTTGATCAGCAAGCATAAAGAATGTATTAATAGAAAACCACGGGATCAAGGTGTACACGGAAGGCTCGAAAATGAACTATGGAGTCGGTTCTGGTGTCTTTTAAGTGCCATATATGACACATATATGTATATTCATTTAGGAGTCTTTTTGTCTTAAATTCGAGTCATTTATGAGTGTTTACGATTCTACGAATCACGTAGGTGATTCCTAAATATTTGGATGTACCGTGAAAAAAAAAGAATATGTTTATATAAAAGTTTATTTAAAATAAAAATAGTTCAGCTTTAGTTATTATAACTGTCCATGTTCATTTTCATGTGTGATATAAACAACGTTCTTAATTTCAAAAAATCCCTTTTTTACACTTGGTAAAAAACTTATAGTAAAAAAATTAAATAAAAAATTAAAAATCTAAAAATTAACAAGTTTAAAAGCAGTATATTCGGCCGGGTCGAACATTGAATACCATCCACCATTTAAAACGAATTGGGAATTTTCAAAAAATAAAATCCTTAAAAAAAATCTGTTAAAATTTTAAAAATACCGAATATAGCCGATATATTGGGGTCTATACGACGTGGACCTACATAGGCATTGTTTGTCATAAGTAATATTCAAATTCAAAACTTGAAATAAACGGTAAATAATGTAGCTAAAATCATCAAAATATCGTACATATGGAGGTACCGTTATATCAGAGCTGTGCGAAGACCTAGACCAGCACAGACAATTTTCTGTCATAGGCTGTAGCATCCATTACGAACTTTAAATACGACATCTCGAACAATTTCGGTGGGTATTATACCTAAACTCGTCAAAATACCGAATATAGGGAGGTACTAATATATGGGGCATATACGAAGACCTGAACCTGCATAGACAAGTTTCTGTCACAGACTGTAGTTCCCATTACGAACTCTAAATACGTAATTTAAAACAAATCCGGTGAATAATGACACTAAAATCATCCAAATACCGAATATTGGGAGGTACCGTTATATGGAGGCTATATGAAAACGTGAGCCTACGTGACCCATTTACGAACTTACTTAGCCATTTATCTCAATTCTTTCGAAAGATAGCGTGATTACAACAGACAGACGGACGGACTTTGTTGAGTCTGACATGAATATTTCGAGAAGTTACAAACGGAATGACTAAGTTTGGTGGAGGGTATAAAAATCAGGGACTGTAATTGGATCGTTTTTTTCGTAACTCGGTCTCTAGCGTGAACAAAATGTTTCTGAAGGATTGTGTTCATATCCTTGTCGTTGCTAGTGTATGTATATGTACAAGTCTGTCCATTTTACTAATTCTTTATATACGTGTTAAAAAGACAAACTTACTTTTGATTACTGTTGATCACCAAAATGACTCGAAGAAGACTCAGCAAAGTGATTTTTTCAAAACAATCTTCCAAATGCTAGCTGGGTAGCATTGAATTCAAACATATCACAACACTAATTTGAGTAGATAAAGTGGATATTGTTAAATACTATCTTGCACAAGCAGAACTCAGATGAGGCAAGACTGAAACTGTTAAATGGCTACATTACAAGTTCAAACTCACAAAGTTCCTGATTAGCCAAGACAACACTAATTGCGGTGCTAACCGGTAAGTTAATTAATGGTTTAATACAATTTTGAATGCTTATTATCTGAAAAATGATTTTAATAATTAAATTGTTGCCTCAAAATTTTAGCTTATCGATCACAAAACAGCTGATTTTCAATCAGCTACTGATACTGCATAATTTTGCAAACTCTCGGTAACTCAATTGTCAAATGTTCTCTTTACTCGCTCTCATTTAATGGGCATTTGTGTCGATAATAGGTGTGTCTGGTTCAGCGGTGCTCAAAACCGTGTTCTAGAACATGAACAGAAAAAAGAGATAATTTAAGAGAAAATTAAAAATCTGTTTTTCTTTATATTTTACGATTCAATTTAATTATTTTTAACATGAATGTTTGCCTAAATAATTTATAAAGCAAATGGATAAAAAATATTTGTATAAATAATGACTTAACACTGTTTTGTTCTTGATTTAAATAAGCAAAGAGAAATTTGACTGAAAAGAGATATTTCTTTTTGAGCACCCCTGGTCTGGTTACTTTTCCTGCAGGAATTGTCCAGCAACTTCTTTCTGAGAGAGTAAGGTAGTTTTATTCTCTTTTGCAAGCAAAATGCGAAAAGTAAACAGACGCTATTCCTGCAGAAGCTTGCAACTAATCAGCTGATTTGTCAAAACAAACCAATTTGTCCCCCATAAGGAGAATTAAAACAAAGGAAGCAATACTAATTTTAATTTTTTTTTAAATAAAAATGTTGGAAATAGTCTTTTATTTTCTTATTACATATTAACATTTACGTTTTTCACATTTTGTAAAGTTGTTCTCCAAAAACAATTAGTCTTGCTAATTCCAAAACAATATTTTCAAATTAAAATCACAAAAAGAAATAAATAAACAATAGAAAACATCTGATTAAATGTCGATGAATGAGAAGAAGAAGAGTTGCAAGAGATTGCAAGAAGAAATTTTTCCAGCAAGAATTTGCAAACTCTCACTGAAGGAACTGTCAAAATTTCTCTCTCCAACCGCTCTCTTTTGCAGAACTTTCGGGTTAACAGACGACTTTCAGTAACAATTTGTAACAATTGTTACAAGTTTTAGGGTAACCAGAAACACCTAATTTGAAGCGCGAGAAGAAAAAGGAAGATGATCCTGTTGTCTATGATGAATAGTATTAAATGTTATTTTGTTGAATACATGTGTTGAATAGTAAAAAAAACTAAAAATTTCCCAATGAGAAATTAGCTTTGTCCATTGCGTATAATCGCTTGTGCCTTGACTGTGCTACTGTAATTCCCATAACTGCATTACGGCAGATTATTTGATATTTAATTTTTTTATCAATGGGAGGGTCATCACAATGGAAATGGAAAGTTTCCAATGATAAATACTGTCTGTTCATCAATACTTACTGGACGTTTGGTTTATCGAACAGCAGGAAAGACTTAGAAATGCTGCCGAAAATTCTCCTTACAATATCATCGACCTACCGTGATAATTGAACGTTCGATTTTAAAGACATCTCCATTTTTTAATTAATCAAATCAAACTTGATGTTTGTCTATTTACGAATAGTACTGACACCGATAAGACATGGATTTCATGTTAATTTAGGGTTCCTATATTACGATATGGAATATGTTTTTATACCCTCCACCATACTATGGAGGGTATAATAATTTTGTCATTCCGTGTGTAACTCCTCGAAATACTCATGTCAGACCCAACAAAGTATATATATTCTTGATCAGCCATGTCCGTCTGTCTGTCTGTGTGTCTGTCTGTCTGTTGTAATCACGCTATCTTTCGAAAAAAATGAGATAGAAGGCTAAAATTTTGCACACATGTATATTTTGCCAGTGGGCAGGTTAAGTTCGTAAATGGGCCATGTAGGTCCTAATTATCATATAGCCCCCATATAACGGTACCTCCCGATATTCGGTATTTTGATGATTTTGGCGACATTATTCACCGGAATTGTTTCCAATTTGGCATTTGAAGTTCGTAATGGATACTACATATTAAGTCAAAAAAATGAGCCATGTAGGTCCACGTCTTCATATAGCCCCGATATAACGGTACCCCCCGATATTCGGCATTTTGATGATTTTAGCGACATTATTTAACGGAATCGCTCCAAATTTGTTATTTGAAGTTCCTAATAGATACTGCAGAAAATGGGCCATGTAGGTCCACGTCTTCGTATAGCCCCCATATACCGTACCCCCCAATATTCGGTATTTTGATGATTTTAGCGACATTATTTACCGGGATTGTTTCAAATTTCGCATATGAAGTTCGTAATGGATACTTCAGCCCATGTCAGAAAATTGTCTGTGCAGGTCCACGCCTTCGTATAGCCCCCATATAACGGTACCCCCTATATTCGGTATTTTGATGTTTTTAGCTACATTATTAACAGATTTTTCTTCAAGGTTCGCATTTAAATATTGCAAAAACTTATGACAAAATTTGCCTATGCAGGTCTACGTCGTCGTATAGGCATTCGGTATTTTTAAGATTTTAACAGAATTTTAAACGGATTTTATTATTATTATTATTTTTTTTTTTTTTGGAAATTGCCAAATTTGTACCAGATGGTGGAGGGTATTAAAAGTTCGGCCCGGTCGAACTTACAGCTTTTTTACTTGTTATAACTGTGTTTTTTATGTTAACATGCCTCTGTCATGATCTGTAATTCTAGATAGCAAAGCCATAAGCCATTGTCTCAGAATGCATTTTGCCTAGTCTTTACCATTTTAGGTCTTTGTGTAAAATTAATATCCAGTTTTGTGAGATTTGTGATCTCTTAATATCCAGTTTTGTGAGATCTTTTCCGGCAATAATTGTATAATGCTGCATCACCAACGTAGGCAAAAATTCATTTCGTGATCATTTTCAGGGGCCCAAATATATACGATTTTTCAAGTAAACTGTTCAAAAGAGCTAAAAACTTGTTTCGCTTGGCCGAAAGTGGTGAGCTGCCGAATTTGGTTTTCTCCGATCTGAAAACATTCGTTGTCCAGCAGTTTGTAAACAAACAAAATGATCGTGTTTACTTGCCAAAGAGGCCACCAGGGCCTCAATTCTGGTTCTATTAAAATGTTAAATGAAAACTTTTATAAAGTAAAGAAATGTCAAATGAAAAATTTTATAAAGGAAATATTTTTCATTTCATAACCAGCACCAGAACTCAAGCGCAGGCCATGGTGATGGTGTGGGCTGATGGTCGCACTCCGCTCGTATTAATCGACCATGGCTTCAGAATAAATGTCAAATATTATAGCGAAAATATTCTGAAGAGTTTATTAAAGCCTTGGCCTCGCAAACATTTTGGCCGCAGACCTTGGACATTCCAACAGGACTCAACACCATCGCACTCAGCACGCGCCACCCAAGAATAGTTAAAAAATTAGGTTCCTCGCTTCATTTCCAGCGCACATTGGCCACCAAAATCTCCGGATACCAATCCGGTGGACTATTGTGTCTGGAGTATTTTGGAAAGCAAGGTTGGCCCTAAAAAATACCAATGTGTCGATCACCTCAAGCAAGCGCTTCGCCAGAAATGAGCCAAAATACCGCAGGGCAACATTCGGGCAGCGAGTGACGGTTTCGTTGGCCGTTTGAAGACCGTAATTCGAACTAATCTAAACTTATTCTAAAATTTGATGCTATTTCCAAAATGTTTTGCTCTCATTAAATAAAATTAAAAAAAAAAATAATTAAAAATTATGGCGTTTGACTTCGTTGCAGTTATTTTATCTCACCCTGTATATGTTTGGAAAATGCGTCTGAAACCGAAAATAAATAGCGGGCCTTTATTGAATATTTTTGCAGCGAGAGAGTCTAAGAATCTTTAATGTCAATTAGAATACATTCGGAAAATTTCAATGACATATCTAAATCGAATCTAATGTGGGTCAGAAATATAAACTTTATGTGGTCTCAGAGACATTCTGTTAATTATCTTTTCAATTTGTCTATAAATTTCAATTATTTTTGAAAATAAAACATTTGCAGTTACTTTAAATATCATTTATTTCTTTTCAACACTGAATATTTATTTAATTCAATTGATTTATTGTTTTTCTTTTTTGTTTTGAGTACAATACACAATAAAATTCCGCAAATAGTACATATAAGAACGAAGTCCCAAATTTTGTTTTTTTATATCGTTTACATTCTATTTTTATATGGACTTACATATATATATGTGTGTATATATAATTCAATCGTAGTATATACTATTACTAATATAATAAAATGTAAATATGTAGCATGAATAATAAATATCGTTATTATCCAAAAAGGAAAAAGAAGAAGAATCAGTTAGAACTCCCATTTATATATTATCAGAATGCTGCTATGCTTTATAATAAAATCGCTAAAAATAAGTTTTAAATATAAATAACCCTATTTATTTAATGATTTAAAAAAGATTAAACAAAAAACATTTGAATACGAGTAGTTTTTAGAAAAACAGTTAACTCGATTTTAAAAGGATACCAAGTTATTAGATAAAGCGTTTATGTAGTTCGCGATTCGGAACTGCAATGGAATCGTTAAGTGAATATTAACTGCGATGTAAACGCCTTTCAATGTTCAGTTTTAGTTAGTTCATTGTTTTCTGTTTTGTTTTGTTTTTTTTTTTTTTTTTTTTTTAATTTTAACTTTTTATTATTGTCATTTTAATTAGTTAACATGTATGTTATTCAACATTTGTGTCTTTTCTTTTAACGTTTTTTTATAATATATTTTATTATTTAATTCCCATTCATAGCATACACACGGAGTAAAGACTTTCGTTCAGAGGAATCGTCCCACTGAATGTGTCAAGACTCTTAAGCTATATGACGAAAATGGTGAAACATGGAATATTAAAAAAATATGAATTTTTAAAGCTTTCAGAATATGAAAATTTGAATACATGATATTTGTGAGGTTTGTCCGAAGGACCTTCCCAATATCTGTCAGTCTCAATAGAATATTTTCTACCCAGTATTAGAAGCAGAAGCCCTAAATATGTGCTGAAATTGTTTGCCTTTGTCGTGGTTTGACTGAAGCTTTCGTTTTGAAGTTCATTAAATACCGAAACCACAAAATCAATAATTGGCGGCAAAACTTTATCTTGCCTTTGCCGAGTTTTGACCTTTAAGTCATGGGATGTGTAACTTGGCGCACTAACCCCTGTATTTAATAACAACTGTCTCATAGTTTCAAACCCTTTCTCTTGCGCTAATTCTGTGAAATTTATAGCATCCAAATTACGTTGTTATGGAATAAACGGTTCTGCTTACTTTACTCAGAAAACGATCCAAACTCATTCATAAAGTAGCTATGTATTCATCATAAACTACACTTGTCTGCAAGCAGCCCGAGGCTTCCAATACCTTCGCTCCTCAAGAAAATAGTTGTCAAAGGTGAATAAGCGTGAGCTGAACATATCGCAATATTACATTCGGCAAATATTAGTTGATTCGCCTGGCCGAAAGTGGTGAACTGCCGAATTTGGTTTTCTCCGATGAGAAAACATTCGTTGTCCAGCAGTTTGCAACCAACAAAATGATCGTGTTTACATGCCAAAGAGGTCAGCAGAAAATGTGCACCTTCGGTTGGCCACCAGAACTCAAGCGCCAGCCATGGCGATGGTGTGGGCCGCCATAACAGCCGATGGTCGCTTCGCTCGTATTAATTGACCTTGGCATCAGTATAAATGCCGAATATTATCGCGAAAATATTCTGGAGGGTGTATTAAAGCCTTGTACATGCAAACATTTTGGCCGCAGATCTTGGACATTCCAACAGGACTCAGCACCATCGAACTCAGCACACGCCACCCAAGAATGGTTACAAAATGAGGTTCCTCGCTTCATTTCCAGTGCACAATAGCCACCAAAATCTCCGGTTTCAAATCCGTTGGACTATTGTGTCTGGAGTATTTTGGAAACCAAGGTTGGCACTAAAAAATACAAAGTGTCGATCACCTCCAGCAAGCGCTTCGCCGGGAATGGGCCAAAATACCGCAGAGCAACATTCGGGCAGCGTGTGACTGTTTCATTGGCTGTTTGAAGGCCATAATTCGTGCCAAGCGTGACCAATTCAAACAAATCTAAACATATTCTAAAATTTGATAATATTTCCGAAATTTTTTGCTTTCATTCAATAAAATTTAAAAAAAAAAATCTAAAAATGATGGCGTATGACTTTGTTGCAGTTTTTTTATCTCACCCTGTATATGAAAAATGCATATAACTCGAAGAAGAAACCCGATACCCCACCCTGCGCTCATCACTGTTTTATTATTAGTTAGCTGAGCAGGTTGGACACCCTTGGTTTTAAATATGTTTATTATAGGCTCTATACCATTTTTCCACCGCAATAAGGGTAGACTAATGTTTCATCCCACTGGATCTAAAAATTCTACTGAAAAACAATCATTTAAATATTCTAAAATAAATATTCTAAAAAAATAATGTAGAGTGACTAGATTATTGAAGATTTTTTAGTAGGTAAAGAGCCGTGGCACGTGAGTTCCTTGGTGAAAAATTCACCCACAAATAAACTGTCTAAAGAAAATACTCAAATCTTATTATGGACATAAAATCTAAGATGGTTCTGGGTGTGCAATTAACTTAAAACAATAATATTTAGTAATAAATTTATTTGTTTTATTTATTTCCTGACAGAAAGAAAATTCTTTAGACAAAATCAAGTGAGAAAAAATTAAAACACACATTGGTTGAAGGAAATACTATTATTAAATAATAAAATATTTTTAAACAAAAAAACAATTTAATTAACATACAGCTGTACGAATAAAAGTAATAATAGTAATACATAATAATTAAAAATGTGTAATAGTAAGAACTGCAGAATTATAAATATGTAAAACTTAGTTTTGTTGTTGTTTTTATACATGCAAATAAATGTAGTTGGTTTATCATTAGCTTATTTTTAAACGGAGAAGAGGGTGGGTTTTTACAAGAAATAATACGGTAATCCTTAAATTATTTTAAAACTCAATTTTAAAATAACTAAGATTTTACAAACATAAGTGTGTGTGTGTGGTGGCGGGGTAGCTATGGGTTGGGCAAAGTTTAATGTTTATGCAAATAAAACTTATATAAATGACAAATAAAACGCTAAAACGACTAAACAATATTTTTTACAAATAAAAAAACAATCAAAGGGACTTTCTCAAAAGTATTTTTTTGTTCAACTTAAAAAAATAAGAGATTCATAAAATTCAGTTTAAATTATTATTATTATTTTTTAATCATCCTAACTAACCACGTGGCGTGTTGAAATCTAATTTTTTTTAAAACAGAGAAGAAAAAATTCTAATAATATTCGAGCATTTAGTTATCTTTGCACCAGAACAATTTATGACTTCTGGCAGTCACTCACTGTCTTGTAGGCTCTATGAGTTTCTGTCTTTAGAATTACAAGTTTACAAGTTTTATAAGTTTACTTCGATTTCGTAAAAGGATGAAAATGCAAAACAGATTAAATTAAGAAGCTACCATAAACACACATTCTTCGACCATACGAAAGAGAAGACAAGGCTTTCAAACATTCACAATTGAGAGAATATTTTTTTTAATAAATTACATAAATATTGTATTCTGTTTAACTCTATATTTAATATTTAATTAACACATATGTATGTATTTGAATTTGTTAAATTAACAAGTATTCTAGATAAGTATTTAAGTTGCTGCTGTGAATATGAACAAGCCTTTTTGTCTTAATAGAGAGATTCTATTTTCTGAGATTATTTTAAGACACTCTTTGTAATTGTATGTGTGTATGAAAATGGTAGTGGGATTCATTCCTCTGCTTTTGTATATATGTGTGTGTATGCTTTACAGTATTTAATTAAGTTTCGGGTTCTTTTTGTTTTAATTAATCGACATTTTTTCTAGATAATGACATTATATGGCATGTAGTTGTTGTTGTTGTGGACTTGGATGAGCAGGAGTAGTTTGGTTTTGTAATTTATATGGGTACATAGTTTCCTTTTGGCTTGTAAAACAATTGACCACGCATCAGTCGGCGACGTATTTCGGCAAGCAATAAACGTTTCTCCTTTTGGATTTTCTTCAGTACACCCTTGTTTTCTTGTGCTCTACGCGAGAGATATGGCAAGACTTCCTGTACGGGACCGTACGGTATGTACTTATAGGCCGAGTAACCAGCTTGACCTGCAAAGGAGATAATACAAAAGCGATTAGAATTATTTAAAACATGGATTCAAGTTAGAACTTTAATTTATAAAAAAAAAAAACATTTTAAAAAGTATCAACCGCACCATAAAGATTGATAGTACATATCCCATATGTACCCTAAACCATATGTTAGTACAAATATCGGAATGTGCATTCTTTGAATGGAACTGGGGAACATTTCCGGATTTTATAAACGGTAGCAGAAGGAGTGGTCCGATATATCCATTCTTCGCACCAGATCTGGTGTTCGTAAAAATATTGGGATGTGCCAAGTTTGTATTTCACGGCGGTTATGAGTATTCAAAATTTAGACCCGTTGTATGAGAAGAAGGTAACCGATCTATGCTATCTTCACCAAAAAGATATAAGACTGGTCGAAATATTTGGATATGCGAAATTTTAAGATACCAGGCTCTTCCTTCACTTATTATAAGCGTTGTGATTATAAAAATGTTTACCCTTTTTGGGAGAGGTACCAGAAGATATAAGCCGATATTGTACTTTTTCACACCAAGCTTAGGTCAAATTGTATACTTCGTCAATTTTTACCGCTTAACAAAAAAATATAAGGATGTGCCAAGTTTGGACCAGATCAGACACTCATTTCGAGAGTAATAGTGCGCACCAGCCAACCAGACATACATAATTGTTTTCCTTATCAAATGATATATACCATATAGCTGAGGGTATAACGAGAGGAAGTCCCTAATATAGATTTTGTAATTAAAATCATCTCATGAGTTGTTAGGATTAAATGAGCCCCAGAATGCCTCCTATAAACAGAACAGCTTCAGGGAGTGTTTTGCGATTTTTAGGTGTATTAAAGAAGTTCCTCTAGCTAAAGAATATCTCAGGAAAGAGTTTTATCTAGGGAAGTTCATCATAAATTTATTTCATATGTAGAATATGTAAGCAATGTCTAAAGAGTAACTCTGGATGATCTCCTATTTAACAAGTTCTACCATCTATAGCAAACCTGAGAAACATAGAAAATGTTCAAATTCAATCCCCAAGTTCATACGGCATAGTCTCCTCCAAAAAGAATGCTTCGAGATGTGTCGGTAAACGTCACACTTACTTATATTCCCATCATTGGGAACCAATGGGCACCAATTAATCAATATTGCTTCTTCTTAAAGAGAATCTGAGCCTTCTCAACTTCAAATTAAATCTGCGCTGTCGTGCTAAAGGACAGATCTGTCGTGACATAGAGAAACATATGGGAAATATATTTTTTAGATTAAAAAAATTATTTGGCTAGGAGCGCTTAGATTACTAGAATAACGAGTCTGATAGTGGTCAAACACTCGATAAAAACACCCCAATACCGATAACGATAAGTCTTAGAATGATGACTCAACGACTGAGAAGCAATTTGAACAAAAATCATTTTCGACGAGAAAACAAGTACCTACAAATAAACGGAATTAACTCACCTAATGGGAAAGTAATATAATCGCACATGCCCAACAATTGACCGAAACATATGACCTTATCCTCGGGTGAAATACCGATTTCCTTCATTTTCTCAATGGCATAACGAACAGTGTCCTCGTTGTGGGATGCTACCATAATACCGATCTTCTTTGCATCTTCACCATTATCTTTGAGTATCTAAAACAAAAGAAGAACTCTTTTATTAAAAACAAACGATCTCAATTCAAATTGTCCAAAACTCACTTTGATTCGTCTCAAACATTCAGTTAATGTTTTGTGGTACATTTCGGTTGTAGCTTCATAACTGGGATTCACTGGATCGGGATAGCCTAATGCTTGGGCTCGGGCACGCTCTTGTTCCATGTAAGCGCCGCGCACTAATTTAGCACCAAAATAGAAATCTTGGCGTTTGGCTTGTTCCAAATCGGTATTAACCTATAAAAGAATAAAAGATGTTGTTTAAAAGAAAGCCTTAAACAACAAAGGCTTTTCTTGTTCTAATGCTTACCTCGCGGAATGCTTCGCGCAAATAACACTGGTATGTATTGAATACAATTGCCTTTTCTTTATTGTATTTACGCATCATTTCAAGTGTAATACGGGAAATGGCCGGTTGGAAGTAAGTTTGTTCGGCATCAATCATAATGCGAACATCCAATTCAGCTGCAGTCTGCAATGGGAAAATGAAAAAACAACGTTTATCTTTCAAAAGTTCAAACGAAAGATGAAATTGAAATAGTGGAAACCTTAGTCATATGTAATGTGTCATTTTCATATAGTAGTATAGCATACTTTAAGGAGCTCCCAAAAATTTTAACAATTATACAACACTATACTTCCCTACAAAGATCTGTCACCTTTAATCTTTCTTAACTTATAATATATGTCAATGTAGTTCTTTGAAACGCTCGAATAATTTAATTAATACGTATGCTTTATTTATATTATTATATTTATATCCTCCATAGTATGGAGGGTATATAAAGTTTGTCGTTCCATTTGTAACACTTCGAAATATACATTTTCGCAAAGTATAAAATTATATGTCGATTTAGCGATGTCCGTCCGTCTGTGGAAATTACTCTAGCTTCCGAACGAATTGAAATAGATTGATAAAATTTTACTCAAATGTATATTATGTCTGCAGGACTTTTGGTATTGAAAATGAGCCATGTAGGTCCACGTTTTGGTATAGCCCCCATATAACGGTACCTCCTGATGTTCGGTATTTTGATGATTTTAGCGACATTATTCAGCGGAATTGTTTCAAATTTGGTATTTAAAGTTCGTAATGAATACTTCAGCCTAAGACAGAAAATTGTCTGTGCAGGACCACCTCTTCGTATAGCCCTCATATAACGGTACCTCCCGATATTCGGTGTTTTGATGATTTTAGCGATATTATTCACCGGAATTGTTTCAAATTTGTTATTTGAAGTTCGAAATGAATACTACAGCCCAAGACCGAAAATTGTCTGTGCAGGTTCACGTCTTCGTATAGCCCCCATATAACGGTACCTCTCGATATTCGGTATTTTGATGATTTTAGCTACATTATTCAGCGTTTTTTTTAGTTTCGCCTTTTTTATATTGTAATGGCTTATGACAAAAGTTACCTATGCAGGTCCATGTCGTCGTATAGACCCGAATATAACACCACACTCGGTATTTTTAAGATTTTAACAGAATTTTTAACGAATTTTATTGTTTTTGAGAATTGCCAAATTCGTTCCAAATGGTGGAGGGTATTCAAAATTCAGCCCGGCCGAACTTACAGCTTTTTACTTGTTTTTACATAAATATATTCATGTATTTCTCTTTATTAATTTATTCAATATCATAAAGCGTCTCCATTTAATTTAATAATTCTAGGGAACGTCTAATAGTATGCTAAAGAATAGTATTCTAAAGAAATGTGGAAAAAATAACTTTTCTCAACCTTGATTAGAATGTTGATAGTAACTAAGAAGTGTAATTAGTTAAAATTTCCAATGTCGGAAAGCCAAATTCTAATATGAATTCTAAGAAGGCATACCGAGAAGTAGTTCAAACCGTTACTTCAACAACCTGACCATTATGGAAGGAACAAATTTTCTAGATTTCTCCAATAATTAACACCGATGATTTGTCATGAGAATAACGATAACAATTTAAATCTAATCAATGCATATAACTATTTCCAAACTACATGAAAAAGCCTATCCCATGTCTACACAAGTCTTAATGAACAAATATCGCCACACGTGAGTACATACATACCTTAACAATAGTATTCAAACGACGAATCATATTTCTAAACATTTCTTCCTCTTTGGGCGGAATTTGTGAGATCAAACGACGCATTTGACCAGTTTTGGGATCGGGTACTCTGAAGGTGTCACTAAGCTGTGAGTCTTCATCTACAATACCGGACCAGGGGAACAAATGCAAAATACTGAAATAAAAAACAACAAATTCGAAACTTATTTCAAATTTCAAAACACAAATAATATCAGATTGTTTACCCTTCTTTGTCGGAGGTAACATTTTTCAAGAAATCCTGAACATTTTTATTGTCGCCCAAACTGGCATAATATTTTTCCAAATCCTTAATGGTCTTGTGATGGGTTAAGACATTGCCTTGACCACCCACCATATCTTCCATGTATTTACGTGTGCGCATAATAACCTCGGACAATTGCAGCTGAAACGAAACAAAAAACAACAACAGTAATATTAATAAAATGAAAACGCCTAACTAGCAGGACGACCAGGCATAAAATATGAAGACCATGGGTTTGCGTGCAGACCCATGTTTATTACATACCAAGAGTTGAGGACGACCCAGGGCGGTTAATTTGATGGCTGTAATACCAGTGCCAAAGGTAGCGCCTAAAAATAACAGACATCATAAAAATAAGAATACAATTAGAAATAATGATCATAAAGTGTGCAGAATATCGAGGGCAAACATGGCCAGAGAGACACTTAGCAAATTAAAAAAAGGAAAACAAGGGAATATTAAAATACCCAATGATGAATACATTTTAAGTAGCTGTATGTATGTTTCAGCATTACTGTACAATATTTCATTTCATGTTTCACATGATAAAGGCTTGTTCTTATACGTATATGTATGTACATATATAATACAAAAGTTATATATGGAATATATAATGCAAATATAGGTCAAGGTTCTCAAATGTATGCTTATCGAACTTTTTTAATCTCTGCCGACATGTTCTCGTCCATAGATCAACAATATTTTTGTTTGTTGCCTAAATTCTCCTATTTTTTATTGTTTATAATTTGCACGGGTACATGCGTGTGCGTGGTAGGCATTTAAATATAAATAATGCGGCCAAAAAAGAAATAAAACTAATAAAAAAGCATGAGAAAATTTTAAATTTAATTTTGTTTTAGTCGTAATATTTAGATTTAGACAGGCGACGGTCTATCCCATATAATTGCACCAAAGCAACCCTGAGTGGGTAATATATAATACATAAGAAAAATAATATACATATAAGAGTAGAATCTTGACATTTCGCACGAGGATTAGACTTGATGCCTCGTCATGTGAAAAAGCTGAGTTTTTGAAAATTCTTACTTAAAGGGAACGAAAAGTATTAAAATGTACTCAAATGTAATAGTTTGTTTTGAACATACGGAATGTGCTAGAATTCTGAAATTTGGAATGGAAGTCAATGATAGAGTGCGGGATAGATGTACCAAAGGGTTTTTGGAAATCCCAACTTAAAAATTACGACAAGTTCTAAAATAGAACTAAACTTCTTAAATAGTACCATTTAGTATTATGTGATAATTTATTTGGATATATCTTCAACCGATTTCGGGTTAATTGAGCACCAAATGGCCAATTTCAGTCCAATGGACCTGAATTTTGGCACATCCGACCGAATTCAGTCTTAAAGCAAGTAGATCAAATTTGGTGAAAATCGGTTGAGACGAATTATGGCCTTGAAACGGCCAATAAAACCGTCACATGCTGCCCGAATATTGCTATAGCTCCCATATGTATGTTTCATCCGATTTGGTGTTTAAGTCCCCCACATTAGTAACATGCACTCCACAAGAAAGATATTTGGTACCAAATATCAGATACAGCGCATAAATACCTCTGCCTGATTTTGGAAAAATCGGTTCAAATTTAGATATAGCTCCCATATATCCTCAACCGATTTCGAGTTAATTGAGCACCAAATGGCCAATCAGTCCAAAATTGGATATGCCTTCCATATATTAGTTCCCTCTGGCATCAAACTGCTCTTAAGCCAAAATGCTCTTAAGCCAAATGAGCAAACGAATGGTTTCTGAAACTGAAGACAGACCTATGTTGATTTATGTTAGGTATAATTTTAAGTGACCTTTTGTGTCATACTCTTTTCATACGTCTCAAACATTATCGAAACAAATTGATGTAAATATATAAGAAATCTCTTCCTAGTTGGAAACTTCGATAACTACTATATTATATTGCATACTTTGAGGCATAATCGTTATTTAAGCAGAGCTTAAATTCGTCAATAGGTAAGGCGTACTTAAATCTTGTTTACACAGGACCGTCCATATTTAATTGATTTCTTATTTCAGAACATTCTGGAATTTTTTAGAATATTGAAATTAACAACAATTAATTTTAATCCTTACATAAAAATATAGTCTAATGTTCCTATTCATAGTCCATCAATGTTATTTAATAAAATGCAAATGTCTACAACGTATATGTATAACACGGCAATGAGAACAACGCAGAAAGTTGTTATGTGTCACACCATCAGTCAGTCAAGCATGCATGATTGCCAAACTGTCATTTGAGGCATTTGTGATGTACCTATACTAATGCAGGTGAATTACCAAGCGTTGGTGTCTATGCTATTCTTTTTGAAAAGAAAAATTCCAAATGGATTTGGGTATTATATTTTCTATTTCAGCAAGTCAACGTAAAATGGCATACAAATCGCTGGGTAAAATATTCAACTCAAGGTTCTTCGTTTTAAATTTCTATTGTTTGTCTATAGTGCCAATGAACTTTAAATTCTTTGTTGGCAAATAACAATTTTTCAATTATTTCACATTATTTTTCCTGCAATTGCGTGGGATGTTTGAAAATATTTTGGACGTGTTAATTTCTTTTATTTCTTTTTTTTTTTCTTTTGTCTTGGCCAAATAATTAGAAAGAAAATTGCTAATAAATTTAAATTTTGTCAAAAAACCACACAATGGAACAAAAAATTTAAAATAAAACCACAAAAGAGCCGTTAATTACATTTTTGATCTACGTTGGGCGCCATGTTTGGGGTCTAAAGTCTTATCGTTTCGGTCTCATGTTTGCATGAGATTCGATATAGATATGATCACATGAGGAAATTGTTTTTAAATCAACAAAGCCTAGATAGTCCATCCACATATTAAAATATAAAATATATTTTGTTAAATGTTCTTCTGATGGAAATCACAAAAAGAACAAGTTAAAAAGCAGTAAGTTCGGCCGGGCCGAACTTTGAATACCTTCGAATTTGGAAATTTTCAAAAAATAAAATCCTTAAAAAATTTTGTTAAAATTTTTAGAGTACCGAATATAGCCGTTATATTAGGATCTATACGACGTGGACCTACATAGGCATTGTTTGTCATAAGCCATATTCAAATTCGAAACTTGAAATAAACGGTGAATAATGTAGCTAAAATCATCAAAATATGGTATAAAGGGAGGTACCGTTATATTTTCTGGCACAGGCTGTAGCATCCATTACGAACTTCAAATACGACATCTCAAACAAATTCGTTGGGTATTGTACCTAAAATCGTAAAATACCGAATATAGGGAGGTACTGATATATGTGGTCTATACGAAGACCTGGACCTGCACAGACAATTTTCTGTCATAGGCTGTAGTATTCATTACGAACTTAAAATACTAAATTTGAAACAATTCCGGTTAATAATGTCGCTAAAATCATGAACATATCTAATATAGGGAGGTGCCGTTATATGGGGGCTATACGAAGACGTGGACCTGCACAGACAATTTGCTGTCATAGGCTGTAGTATTCATTTTGAACTTGAAATACTAAATTTGAAACAATTCCGTTGAATAATGTCGCTAAAATAATCAAAATACCGAATATCGGGAGGTACCGTTTTTATGGGGGCTATATGAAAACGTGGACCTACATGACGCATTTACGAACTTAACTACTTACTGGGAAAATAAACATGTGTGCAAAATTTTAGCCTTCTATCTCAGTTCGTTCGAAAGATAGCGTAATTACAACAGACAGACAGACGGACATCGCTAAATCTACATAAATCTAATAAATCTAATTTTACGCTAATCAAGAATATATATACTTTGTTGGGTCTGACATGAGTATTTCGAGGAGTTACAAACTACAAACCCTCCATAGTATGGTAACTTTTGTCATAAGCCATTACAATATTCAAATGCGAAACTTAGAAAAAACGGTGAATAATGTAGCTAAAATCATCAAAATACCGAATATCAGGAGGTACCTTTATATGGGGACTATACGAAGACATGGACCTGCACAGACAATTTTCTGTCATAGGTTGTACTATCCATTACGAACTTCGAATACAAATTTGAAACTATTCCGGTGAATAATGTCGCTAAAATCATCAAATAAAAAGCGAATAGAACAATGACGGACAAGACTAAAAACAAACAAGTAAAAATCAGCTAACTTAGGTCGGGCCGAAATTTTAATACCCTACACCACTTGGAACGAACTTTCAAAATGAAAAAAAATTCGTTAAAAATATGTGTCTAAAATTATCAAAATACCGAATATCGATTGGTACAATCGTGAAAATGCCAAATATAGGGAGGTACAGTTACAGGGGATACACGAAGACGTGGATCTGCTTTGGCAAGTACCAAATTTTAAATAATTCCTGTAAAAAATTGGACTTAAACCTTGAAAATGCCGAATATCTGGGGTCTAAAATGCTTATATCGAGGAGTTAAAAACGGACTGCCAAACATAATATACCCTCCACACAATATATGATGGAGGGTATAAAAATGGTATATCAAAGGTGTTATATCCTTTGCTGTTGATTTGTCAGCAGGTTCCGCCTTCAGATTTTGAAATAGACCTTTCGAGTGATCTGCAGCACATGACGTATTTCGATGATAATTTCCCCCAAATGTCCAGGAAAATCATGTCTTTCTCCGTACCCCCAGAAAAGAGACTTTCGAAGGCGGCATACCTGGGGAAGAGTCTTATAAGAAGTAGTCTAAAACCGGTTTAGGTCTAAAACAAAGACTAGAGATTATTAAAAGAAGAACATGATGAGGTCACGAAATATCAAAAACATTTTTTAGAGTCGATTTGAAACAGTTAGCGCATGGTACAATGAAATAAAGGTAACCTCATTATACCCTCCACCTTGGAAAGGAGGATATATTAACATTGTTATTCCGTTTGTACAATCCCTAAATCTTCGTAGTAGGCCCAATAAAGTATATATTCATAATCAGCATAAAATTCTAAGTCGATTTAATGATGTCTTTCTGACGTAGAGCAAAATTTAGCAGAACAATTTGTATTGTGCCTAGGATGGTTGGTATTGAAAATGAGATATGTCGATCCACGTTGTGGTATAGCCTCCATAACGGTACCTCCCGATGTTCGGTATTTTGTTTCACTGATTTATCTGAAAATTGGTATTTTTAGATCATAATGGGTCCTAGTTCGTGTGGCGAAACATTGTATGTATAGGTCCACGCTTTGGTATAGCCCCCATATAACGGTACCTCCCGATTTTTGGTATTTTGATTATTTTTGGCACATTTTCCCATGAATATGTCTAAAAATTGGAATTTATGGGTCATAATGGCTTCT